CCACACCCCCCCCGGCCCCCCCCCCCCCCCGCCCCCAAGCCTGTCTCTTTCTGTCCCCATCCCTGCCAGCCTCCCCTTTCAGTTCTTGACCTCCGCTCTCCCCAATCCCTGCCTCTTTTCCCCTTTTCCCACCACCCAGTTCCTTACCTTCACCCCCCTCCCTCATTCCTGCCTCCACCTCCCCTCGCTGCTTGCCTTCCCGGTCCCTGTCTCTCCCCCAGCTCCCCCCGGTCCCTGCCTGCCGCCCATCCCCGGCTGGAGGGGGAGCGCGGTGGATCCAGCGCTGTGACTGTTCTGGGTTCTCTTTGTCTGCAGGAGGGCAGGGGGACAAGCAGCCCTCTTGTCCCCAAAGCAAAGCCGGCCGCTCTCCGGTTCTCCCTTGGCCTCTGCTTTTTCTTCCTCTCCTTCACTCTCCCCATCACGTGCTGTGGGGTTAGGGGGTGCTGGATGAGTTTGGGGGTGCTGAGGAGGTCTGGGAGGATGTTGCGGGGGGATTCAAGAGGGATATTGGGGGGTGGAGGAAGGAACTGGAGGGGTGCTGGGGGGAGAATGATGCAGGAATGCTGAAGAGGGATTTGGGGAGCAGTGTTGGGGGGATTTTGGAGGAATGCTTGGAAGGCAATAAGGAATGCTGGGGGTCCTAAAAAAGGTTTCTGGGGGGCTTGGGAGGGATGCTGCTGCAGGATAGAAGATTTAGGGAGATGCTGCAGAGTGAAGGTGCAAGTACAGACCCAGCAGCAGCACCTGCTTAGCAGAGCTGGGTTTTGTGGGCTCTTGAGGGTCACCTTCCCCTTTCCAGCCTTGGGGCAGGACTGCCTTCCTCTGGCAGGGCTCCCCCCTTTCAGGGTCTGCAAAGCTGAGAGCCTTATTTTTCCTGGAGCCCAAATGGAGGTGGAGGCTGTGGGTACACACACTTGGGGTGTCCCCATCTCCTATTTGCTTTGGGAATAGATTAATTCATTGCCCCGTGCCTTGGGACAGCACTGGCACAAACAGAGTGTTTTGATTTGCTGCAATTTTGGGTACATTTGGCTCCAGAGGGACTGAGCAGGAGACACAGGACATGGAGGAGAGGCCAGCAGCTTGTTCAGCCCTGGAGACGGGGTTTTCAGTCTGCGCAGAGCTCTGCCAGTATCAAAATCCTGCAGTGCTGAAGCATCCAGACATTTCACCAAGAGCCTCATAAAAACGCCCAGGAGGGAATTAATGGCTTTTCAATCATTCCATGGTTCAGACAGTAACCATGGGATGAGAGCTCCAGGGCCTCTGAGCAGGGAGGCAGGAGCCATGTGCTGTGTGTTCCTGAGGTGGCTGTGGCCCTGGTTGTGTCCCACAGGGCTGGTGGGACGGGTAAAGGCAGGAACTGGGAGCACAGGGGTGGATTTAACATGTACATTTTGGTTCCTGCACTTTGGATGCATCAGCCTCCTCACCTGGAGGGTGTTCCCATTCCTGCAGTGCTTTTGCAAGCCCAGGCAGGACAGAGGGGGTTGTTCTGCACCCGTGTGTGGTCCAGAATATGGCATTTAAACACCTGCCTGGGTGCAAGGAGCCTCCCAGACCCAGAGCGAGGTGTTGAGTACCTGCTGTGCCCAGCTCTGGTGCAGGCCAGTTGCTGATCTCTCCCGGTGGGAAGGAAACATCAGGCTGGGGAGTGTAAAATAGCTTTTAGCACGGCTGAGGAGCTCTCTGGAAAAGAACTCATCCCTTCGCTTGGCTCCCGGCATGGCCAGAGCCCCCACACTGACCCTTTTCCAACGGCTTATCTGCAAAGGACTAATCATCCTGGCAGGTTCCAGCAAACATGTCCTCTTGGCACAGCTCCAGCACTTCTTTAGAAATTTTTTTCAGCTGGAATTTTAAAAATAAACCCAGTGGACACACAAAACAAATGGAAAATCTTTAAAGGGCTTTGGTGCTCATCTGCCTGCTCTCAGTTCTTGCTGTTCCTGCTGCCAAGCCTGGCTGCTGCTGTGAATGGAGTTCCAAAACTGGGGAAACTGAGGTATCTTGGAGGGGAGAGCATCACCCTAATGCAGCCTGGTGGGTCTAACAGGTCCTGACCCCCAGCACTGGTCCTGGGTGCCCAGGGAAGCTGTGGCTGCCCCATCCCTAGAAATGTCCAAGGCCAGGCTGAAAAAGGCTTGGAGCAGCCTGGGATAGTGAAAGGTGTCCCTGCTATGGCAGGGGTGACACTGGAGGGGCTTTAGGGTCCCTTCCAGCCTGAACCTGGAGTCTCTAATTCTGTGATCATGGATCAAGTCCTGCTCTCCTGCAGGGATTGCTTCTCTTAGGAAGTTCTATGTGGCAATGTCTTAGCTCTTACTTTCTCACCCACACCCTGGAAAATAAATAATATATCAAACTGAGATGGTGAGAGCAATGCTGAGGCTGTCGAGGAGCACAATTCATGTCGCTCCTTTGCCTGGTGAGCTGAGGTCCATCCAAGGGGATTTACAGCTGGAGCCACTAATGGCAGTGTTTTGATTTACTCAGAGACTGAAAACTTGACAAAGTGTATTTCATGGTGAGAAGACTCTCTCCTCTGGAATTTATTGCTTTTAATCAAAATGGACATAAAAATAACATGCAAGAGCCATGAATCTGCTCTGGCTGGACTCCAGTCAAAATCCATGGCAACCTCTGGAGGTTAATGAAGGAGGAAACAAGGGAGATGAACTCTCCGTGAGGATTTTTGGGAATTCAGAAGGACACTGACGCTTCCTAGCAGTACCATGGCTCTCACCTTGCCGTGGTGCTGTTAGGGAGAGCCTTGCACTGGATCTCTGGTGACACTGGGACAGCTGTGTCCTCTGCTGATGCGGGGGCCACGGCGTTTCTGCCAGGTATAGGACTATGGTAGAAATATAACAATATCTAAAATATAAATATATAAAAATAGCTACATATTTTATATCATTTCCATTGTGGCAGCCAGCTGGAGCCCTGTCTGTACATTTCAGAGCTGTGATGCAGAGAGGGGTGACTCCATTTTTTATTCATTCCCCCTTCGTAGTGCCTGTTGTCACAGAATCATGGAATGATTTGGGTAGGTAGGAACCTTAAAGCCCATCTATCCCACCCATTCCAACTCAGAAAACCAAGAAGTCAGCACAATGGGGGCACCAGGATGGAGCTCAGCTTATGGTGAACCACTTTGGGGGGGGCTCCATTGGCATCTAGCTTCCCTCATTTATAAGGATGAGCCAGGACATGCACAGAATTACAACTTGGGGAATTGCAGCAGAAAATGTCACTTTGTTTTCTGTAGATCTGAGGTGTTTTGGGGCTTGGGAGAGAATGGACCAGATGCTCAATGAGCATCAGCCCAACTGCACTGGTATCCACCGAGTTGCGAGTCCAGGCTGCTCCTCCATCTCCCCAGGGCTCATCACTTCCCCTCCCTCCACTGACAGCTCCAGATAAATCAGCCTTGAAGAGGAAAATGGGCTGATTTGTGTGTTTTGTTTTCCCATGTCAACATATCTGAGTGTTTTCATACCTTGCGGGGCAGCTGCTGCAAAGAACAAAGCCCATCCGTCAGGGGAGTTAAAATTAGATGAGATTCTTCTCTGCCTCGCCATTCTGCATGGCTGCACGTGAGGTGGGGGGTTTGCAGCATTGTTTCCTCGGCTCTGTGTGTGGAGAGGCTGTCTCTTGGGGCAGGGTGTCTGCACACCGGGACGGCCAGAGTCGGAGGTGAGTCCAGAGGCTGGATGGAAAATCTCTGCTCACCACCTTGCAGGCAACAGTCCCTCTCCCAGAGGTTGGTGGTATCTTGAGGGTGATGCCACCTGTACCCCTGAGATGTTCTTGGGATGTGAGAGGGGCTGTCTCCCTGCTGGGCTCGAGCTGGTGCCGGTGCCAGCCTGCCCCAAGCCCACTGCTCCCACCGAGGCTGGGGGCAGCAGGGCTCCTTACAAACACAGGGTGAGTGCATCTGCCAGTTCATCCTTTTCCATAAAAATGCCTCCAAAGCGATGATTATTTCATTGGAGGGGTTAACGAGCCCTTTTCCTTCACCCAGGCTCACGCTGGCCTCGTGGCAGTGACAGGGACAGGGGCAGCGATAGCAAGTGACTCGTGGGCACCAAGCTGTGCTGGCAGTGAAGGAAGGACGGGCATCACACCCCGTCCCTAGGGAACTCAATCCCCACAGGAGCCTTCTTCCCTGATTGTTGCTTATTTAGGTATTTTCACCACCTCATTGCCCCCTCTGTGCTGCCTTTTTCTGACAAGGGAGCGTTAACTGGGAAATGGCAGCGTCTCCCTGGATTCTGGGGAGCTGTGCCCCCCTCAGCTGGTGCTCAGAGGTGGCAGAGCTGCTTCCATCCGATGCTCCTCGGGAGCATTAACAACCTGTGAGTCATCTCAGAAATGAACCATCACAGGGAGGGGGGAAACACAGCAGCGTGCTGCTCCCAGACAGAGCCGGGCTGGAAAAATAAAGCTTTTTGCTGCTGGTGGAAGGAATTGGTGTCAATGTGACCTCTGGGCTCCCTGAGGGGCTTTCAGGGTTTTCCTGGACAGGGAGCAGGTCCTTTGAGACTGAGGC